GCCCAGCACCAGCGAGAAAACAGCTTCAGACTCGCCCGGACATTCTTCCCGGATCAAACACCTACTAAGGATGTTACAGAGGCCAGGCCAGCACCCTGGGGAAAGCAGAAAGGGCTGGCCCCCAAGAGCCCCCTGCTCCCCCTTACACATCTCTCCTGGCACCGGCACCGTCTGCAGCTCCGTCTCGACGGACCAGTTCTCACTCACAGCAGAACTCCAGGTCCCTTCTTGTCAAGGCCACTGAGTCAGCCATGCCTTAGAGCAGTTCTGTGTCTAAGACAGAGAAACCCTGTTCAGTCCAGCCCCATCCTGACGGTCTCCATGGTGCTGATGCCTACAGCCCTAATCGCAGTCAGGCCATCTCAGTGAGGGTCTTCCGTTTCATTCTTTGACCCTTTACCACACATCATGACACCCTTTCTCCAGTAACATGCCCCACATATATAAGCCCAAGTCTCAACAGTGTTGCTTTTCAGAAGGGCTCTGGCTACACGTCTCCGGCAGTCTATGCATAAAAAAGGACAGTGATAAGGCAGATCAGAGAAGTGATGCCTTTAAATTATGATGTTGGCGAAGGACACTGAACTGAATAAAGACCCTAGGTGGTACCAATAGTTTGCATTCCACTATTAACAGTGACTGTGGCATTGGGGTCAGATGTGTGAGAAACGGTGAGGTTGGCTCAGGATATGACAAGGTTCAGAGTCGTTCGTAGAGTTGATATGCGGTCTAGCCAACTTGATGGCACATAACAATAACAACATTAACAGAAAGGCTGGTAGTTCGAACCCATACAGAAACATTATGGAAGAAATATCTACACCACAACAAGATAAAGGTAAACAACCCAGTCACAAAATGGGCACAGGCTTTGAACAGACACTTCACCAAAGACGACATTCAGATGGCAAACAAGCACATGAAGAAATGTTCACAATCCCTAGCTCAAAGAGAGATGTAAATCAAAACAACTATGAGATATCATCTCACCCCAGTAAGAATAGCACAATCCACAATGGCCTAAAGAGAAAACGACTGAAATGTCCATCCACAGAAGAACGGCCACATGTGGTCTGTCAGAAATGAAATCCGATGCCCCGACAGAGGAAGCTCCTGAAGACACTACACTGAGCCACAGTCAGCCAGAGAGTGTGTGTCCTCGCCTATGGGAAGTCAGAAGCCAAAAGGAGCGCTAGTGCCAGTCAATTACAATCAGGCTGTTAACCAAAAGGTTAGTGGTTCAAGTCCACCCGCTGCTTTATAGGAGAAGGATGGGCAGTCTCCTGTCAGAAACATTTATAGCCTTAGAAATCAAGTGGAGGGTCACTGAGTTCAAATCACCTTGACTGCAGTGGGATTGGAAGCCAAAAGATTAAGGATACCAAGATGGAGAGGGTGAGAAAAGGAATTTTGGTTGGGGTAGCACTAATTTATGCCTAAGGAGCCCTGGTGGCACAGTGCTTACACACTCAGTTGAAAGGGCAATAGTTCAAACTCACAAGTGGCTCTGAGAGAGAAGGCATCAGCCGTCAGCTTCCATTAAGTTCACACCCTGGAAACACTATGCAGCGACTCCACTCTGTCCTGTAAGTCAACTCTATGGCAACTGTTTTTTGGTTGGTTGCATAAATCCGTATAGAGCGAGCTCCAGTCTATGAGCGGATAAGGAGTTGCACTGGAACCCAGACAGGCAGTGCAAGTCCTCCAGCAGCTTTGAGGAGAAAGATGGGGAATCTCCTCCCAGGCAAACTGCAGCCTCAGAAAACCCACCAGAGGGTCAGCTATGAGTCTGTTCTGACTTACTGGCAATGAGTTTGAGTGAATCTTTGATAGAGCATACCACCAGGCCTTTCTTCCATGGCCCACCTCTAAATTATAGTAATGGAGTTGGAATATATGTTAATGGTGGTGGAATACTTTTTAAAAGGATGATTGCACAGCCTGAAAAAATTCGAATCAGCATCACTGAATTGTAAATGAGAAAGGGGTTATTTTGATGTGCCAAGTAATTTTTTTTTAAGCCTCAGGGGTTAAAAACTGGCCTGGGGAGAAAGGTGGCCCCTTTGCTCTTCCCCTCGATGGCCAGGCAGACACAGCAGCCAGCCCCGCTCACCCCCCTCTCTTGTAGTTTTCCACAGAACAGCAGTGCTGCATTGAAACAGATGAGGGAGAAAACTGTTTAAGAGGGGAAATTATTAAGTATTTTTGTCATGACAGGAGTCCAAAGCGAAGGCTGTATAGTGGAGAGGACCTGGGAGGAGGGATTGTAAAACACTGAAAGAATTTTTCTTTTACTTTTCCAAGAGGGTAGTGTACTGGGGGGGGAAGGTTGGGAGGGGGGAAAAGTGCAACAATGAATGAATGGAAATCCAAAGTCTCTGTAAATTTTCATTGACATTAATAATAAATTTTAAAAAAAAAAGAACAGCAGTGCCCACCCTCCGGCTCACTGTGAGTCTGCCAGCTCCAGGGCTGTGCAAACCAAGTACAATTTTCCATTTAGAGTCAAGCTCCTCACAGTTCTCTGGGGACTAGCAGTCTCGGGGTGCTCAGGATTCAGTGTCCACAACCCATCAGCCTTCTTAGGGACAGGGCCCCGGCATGGGGACACTTCTGTTTCTTCTAGGTAGGAGAGACCAGGAAGTAAAGGAATGGCTTTCCCACTCTCATACCAACTCAAACCTGAAAAAGGAAATGGTCTGGCAAATGTAGAATTTGTTCTGTGCCTGGTTTCAGGCCTTCAGTCAACCATTTGTGGGTATGAAGTGTGGAAGACCCTGAAAAGGAGGTTTTCAACTCCTAACACGGTGGCTGTGGCTGGCATCACTTCTCTGTCACAAGTCCTTTCCCATCCCACACCGTGGGCTCCAGGAGCTACCCAGGGACCAGGACTCCCCCATCCCCAAAGGCACCTCATCCCATTTCACTCCTCCTCTTCTGACTTCCTGCCTCCCACATGTGTCAAGAAAGTCAGAGCCATTTCATAGCTGACTCCTCACTCCCCCAGTGGGTTTTTTAGACTAAAAATCCCACAGGAACAGAAAGCTCATCTTTCTCCCACGGAGAGGCTAGCATATTCGAACCACCAGAGGAGTGCCACTTTTAGGCTAACAGAACAATCCCCTAAAGTCCAAGGTCATCTTGTGCTGACATGGGCAGACTCGACTCTCCCAGGTGTAGTGGGAAGACAATCACGCCAGGAGGAATGGTCTCTGTCACCAACGACCATGTCCTGTAAAGAAGGCACTTCTCCTGTGTCAGCTTTTCTTCATCAATAAAGTAAGACTGGATGCTCACATGCTGCTTCACTCCTTCCTTCAAACAGTAACCAGGGCCCACTCTCCACTGAGCCCAGCTCAGTTCCTGAGCATCTCTAGCTCGCCCTGAGCCAGACTCTGAGTGTGACTGACCAGGGCTGCCAGTCTACCACCTATAATACCCATCTCCTTGTCTGTATCCACATGCCAGACCTTGATGGAGGGGAGACGAGCCCTGCCTTTCCATGGAGCTCCCCTGGGGAGGCCTTTGCCATCCTACAGAACCCTCCCCAAGACCTTCAAGCTTCCCCACTTCTGAGTAAGAAAAACATGTCCCTCCAGAGAGGGACATGATCACCTCTCACCTTCCAACTGAAACCCTCTGAGCTTGAAGTCAGTAGAGTTCC